CTCTCTCTCTCTCTCTCTCTCTCTCTCTCTCTCTCTCTCTCTCTCTCTCTCTCTCTCTCTCTCTCTCTATGTAGATCTAGATCAATCCAAATCCTACTCTATCATGGATATGATTTTAAATTAAACCTATCCTCTAGGTCAAGACCAGCTTTTGGACTTTACCAGTCCTCAGGTGTCATTTTCTTCACTGAAATGTTGACCACAAATCAAGTCTTTTATGCCTTGATACAACACTTTCCTCCTGTGATATAGGCATCTTGGGATCTTTCTTCTCAGGACCTAATCAAGGCATATATACTTTTTGTTTGACATGAATTCCTCAGGCCCTTATGCAATGTCTAATGGACAAGCTGAGACCAAATGACCTACTGAGGTCTAAGTGGGAAGAAGTTCAAAATATTCTCATGCTTGAGTAGATCAAAGGTGTTCAATTACATGCAGATACAAGTTAACCCTTCTTTAACATCACGATAACTTGCATAGTTCAATCTTCCAAGTTTCAGATTTCCAGCACCACTTTATGTACTATTTTAATCTACTGCATCATGACATCATGTATGATTCCTTGTCATACTCCAAGAAGTCAAAGCTGGGCAGAGATAAAAAGGAGGAAGCATATTTGTTGTGCCAAAATAACCAATTGTTTTTCAAATCCTAGACAAGATTATACTGATAAATACATCTAAATTTTACAACAAGAAGCAAAACATACTCACACTAAAAAACACATGATATGTCACCTTTCTATCGGATACCTTTCTTCTTAACTCTATTTTAGATAAGGTGACACCAGAGTATCAGATTAGCCATGTATGGTTTTAGTGACGATTTGCATTTACAATGTAAAAACCCATCCTCAACCCATATTTTCTAATTCAAAGAGAATTCAGTAAGCAGCTGCTGCTGCCATCATAACAAGCGCAACTAATCATAAGTTTCTGAAGAGAAGTCAGGCTCATCTGGCTTCTGTAACTTGGGCATGTCAATGCCCTTGATCTTCTGAGCTCCCTTTCTAGTGGTCGCCGCAAACTTAGAAGCCAGAATAGTGACCCCAAGGTTTTGTTTAGGTTGAGAAGTGCTTGTAGAGTATGTGCCTACTTCATCTTCCTCCTGCCCTGATTCATCAGCTGCCTGCTCATCTGTTCGAGAATTGAATGATTCCATCATGCTCAAATCCTTTGCCATCTTTCTCCTCTTGTAGCGACGCCAAGCTGCCTGAATGAAGCATGCACCCCATGTCCTCCAGTGATGTGAATAGAAGCGGAATGTGTGCTGCAGCTTTCTACTGTGGAGACGCCTAAATTGATTGGCGACAAACTTGAGGTCCTCCGCTCGTAATACAAAGGCCTCAACTTCAACTAGTGCTCTTGCAGTTCTAGTGGAGGAAGGTAAGTTCACCGTCGACTTCGGAAGAAGAGCCCAAGCAAGCAGTTCCTCACCACAGAAATCCCCAGGCCTCAATGTTATTGAATTGAAGAAACCAGTTCGGCCTCCATCGGTAGTTGAACTCTCTAATCTGCCACGGATAATGAAAAGCATCTCTGTCACGGGATCACCCTCACGAACAATGTACGTGCCTTCTGTGCTTAGGGAGGACACCAGACGTTCACATATGGCATCTAGAAGCTGATCATCCATCTGTGAAAAAAAAGGAACCTGCAAATTGGAATAGTAAAAAAGGAAAGCATTAGCAAAAACTTAAATATTAGTTAATTGCTGCAGAATACCGGTGTGTATGAAAGGTGGATGACTTGCAAAGAGAGATTTATTACCAAGCCAGGTAATCCTCTCCAAATGTCCTTTATAGATGGAGAGTTACAGATAGGTGACAAAGTCAATAACATCATCAAAGAACCAATACAAGCACTGAAACCAGTTCAACAGAAAAAAAAAAAGGTATATACCGAGTTGTATCACAACATAGTAAGGGTAAAAAAGTTGAAATCGTTGTGGTGTACATTTGATCAATATGTGAAAATTAACAGTAGGAATCATCTTTGGTTATGCAGTTTCAATGCATATTTTCATTTAGCAATCATATGCAAACTTCTAAAAGATCAAACAACAGCAATTTATTGACTCTGAGGGGATCACAGTTTGCTTAAAAGGTGGAAATCACACAATTACAAACAACATGCCCAGATGGACAAGACTTTATGGAAAGTGTTAAGCTTGAGACACATATGGGAGAATATTTCCTCATGTCAGTTTTTTTACTTCATAGCATGACTAAGAAAATGGATTTAGGTTAAACCTAATTTATGTGAGGGTAAGTAATAATCTTTTATGGTGGTTGTGTTTGATTAGCTCAATATTGTTTATGCCTTTGAGATGAATATTGCTCTGTAGTACAGATTGTCACAACTCTCTCTTCTAGATTATCCCAAAGGGTAGCGGAACACCAGAGACCGCTAAGATGCATGATCTGGAATTGCAAAGGTAGATTATTGTACTTGACAACAATCTCTTTTATTATAGCAAGAGAATGACTTGTCTAATGTTCCATAGGATACAAACTGGTCATCAAGCTTACAGGGTTGATGTTAGTTGAATTAGTAAATCCTGATTTTCTCAAATCTCCTATAAAACTTCTCGATTTGATTTATCCAACTATAGGGCTGAGCCTCTACAATTGAGAAGGCTTTGGTGTGATGATAATATCTTTTACATTATTTAGGATTTATTGCTACCAAATCCTGCAATTGTTTTTGCATCAGAAGACAGCTCATTATTTGGAATATCTATTTCTCTTTCCACTGAGATGAAGAATAAGATTACTAAGAAGAATTTGGCCATCCAACAGTGGGAGTTTGTTTAGGATAGTATATTCCACTGTGTATAAGTTGAGGTTCTTTTAGGGTACCAATCACATATACTGCACTGTCACCTTTTAACTGTAAAAACACTAGAGGGAAGAAATGAGGCAGCTTTGTACCCGTCGAACAAGATCCAAACACAGATGACGTTGAATATCTCGACGAAGGTCAGCAGGTAAAGCCTGCAATATGGATTCTTCATCCACTCCGCGTGTTGCAAGCCATTTATATTGAACAAATCTTCTAACCCTTTCTCGTAGATGATGAGGAAGTTGACGATGTCTCATCCACTCTTCTGTGTCTCTGCGCTTTAGTCTCCACTCTTCAAGTCTCACAGTCATAGATTGGAGGTATGTCTAAAGCACAAGAAAAAGTTTAATAAGCTAAAGTAAAACAAAAATACAAAACAGTGCCCAGGAACTTTGTAGATAAAACACAATAGAAATCAAATCCAATATTCACAAAATCAATAAAAAGTCCAAATTAGAAAAAGATGAAAAAGCTTGTAATCTCATGCTAGAAGTTTAATGGATCAACTAATCCTTTCGAAGATTAATCATGTAAGCCCTGTACAAAAAAACATTACTTGTGAATAATAAAAAAAATTACTTGATATCGCACTTGAAGGCTATATACTACAGAAAATAGAAATAATAAAGAACGAGCCTCATACGATACCTGCATGTTTCCAATCAAGTGTGCAAACAAAACTAGGCCAAGAATTGCGATAAGTATAGCAAACAAAGTCTCTCCAATGAAAGTGCTTGTTGTCAAAGTCTGACCATATGAACTGACAATAGAAAACCAAGGGTATATGTTACAAGAAGATTTAAAAGTTAAATGAAACATTAAAGCATCAAGTGTTCTTATAAAACGTGCATTCAAGAACCTTTCTAAGGCATGTGAAAACCTCTTGTAAGATTATCACTTGCATCCTAACACTTTACATGGACAAGGATTGCTAATTAATGAAGTTACTATATTGCTAAGGTATCATACCACCCCTCCAAGTAGAGATGCTACTCAATGACCTCTACTCTTACGAGTTGTGGCATTTCGAGTCAACTCATAAGAAGTGGTTATGGTATTAGTAGTATGATTACTTAGGACATTGGTCTGTCAAGGTTTCTTATCTAAATGCAACCCACGTAAACAAATGCTTGGATTGGACCAAGTCATGCTAGCATGGAGTTTGAGCTTGAACATATAATTTGTTTCAAAAGAAACGAAGGGGATTATACGAAGTATAAACCAGTGGTGCAAACTGAGAGAGATGACTTTTCTCTAACAAATTTGGTATGTATTAAAAAAGCATACCTTAGGTTTTGCAAACCCCACCAAAGACAATAGAAGTATTTCTTGATAAACTCCGTAGAGAAAGCTTCATTTGTCAAAGCATTTTGGAAAATACCATAGTTGAAAGTGGTATTAGCATTATTAGGATCACAGTTGTCGAACACTTGTGTAGACGTAGCCCAACGCTGACGATCTGCTTGGTTTAAGGAGTCACAGTCTAAATATCTAGGTCTGCATAATGACACAATAGTGCCATTTTCCTTCCTGCATTCTGATTTCCAACATGTCATCTGCCGTTCGACTGATAGTAAATACCATGAAGCTCCTAAAACCTGCAATATTGGAATATAGTTAAGAAATAAACTTAAAAAGAAAAAAAAGCAAGGATACCACATGTAAAAGACTTTCAACAGAATATAGAAGTTACTTACATGACTAGCAATCATGTAAAGCAGTAGATTATATGCAGCACCAGCCCAAGCAGTCTTTGTGACAACACCATCAGCTTTAACTATTTGATAACTTAAAGGAAATATGAGATACAATCTTGGTATATATTGCACTAGCACAATCAGAGCAAGGGCATTATTGTTATGATCAGCTCTTGAGTTCCTAATAGCTGACCAAATAAGAATCTGCAAGAAATAAAAAGCCATAAAAATAATCATTTTCCATAATCAGGAAAACATGAATAATTAACAAGAAATGATAGCACAAGAACAATTCTCTATACAAAAATCGTCCAAACCAGTAAATACGTATGGTTAGTGCACACCAAAAACCAAATATAACTGAAGCATGATTCAGACCATAACATCCACACACAAACATACAATAGATATTGCATGTATTTTTAACACTGATGGAATGCAGCAGGGAGAAGCGTTAGATAAGCAAAAATAATAGAACCCAAATTAAGAGATACATTCTTAATTAGTTCACCATTGGCTGGTCCATTATTCAGCTTTACTGTAACATGAAACAAATTTAACTTAATCTATTAAGCTTTTTCTGCATATAAGAGTACTACCAGGCTACCAGCCACGGTGACACCACTACTTGCTCATTCGTCACTGAGATTAGTTCATTTCAACAAATGGTCTACTATACATGTGTCCACTTTCTTTAGACAATAATAAAAACTCCTCATCCAGTTCAAGGTTTTTGAAGAACTAATAAAACAATCATTTTCTCGATCTGGCTTCACATTACTCCCTATTGATACAAATTCTACACACATGCCATGCTTATGTCTGTGTGTCAGTATTAACATCACCATTTAAAGAAACAAGTTATTAAGAGAAATTATACCCTAATTTGGATAAAAAAAACTATAGTTGATAAAAAAAGTGTTGATTAAAGTGAGGACACTCTAGTAAACTCATAAATCATGAATCTTTTCATGAGATCATCTTCAAAAGAAGGAAGGACAAACCTGTGGCAGAGGAAGTGCAGCTGCTAGATCTATAATGAAGTCTGATCTCAAATATCTCCTAGCAATCTTTTTAGGGTCCATAACAAGCTCCCCTCGCCCAAACACCCTTGAGCTCGGAGCCACATATGCAGTCCGAAACTTTATCACAATATGCAATATGTAAAACAGATCAGCAAGTGTCCGGAAAAACGTAACGGCAACACTTACATTGTTATCCATCCTAACACATGTAGTATCACTCTTCTCAACTTTGGGCAAATAGAAATACAATGGATCTATGAACAGAGCAACCAAGCATGAGATGAGAAAAACACGATTCCACTTCAATACAGTATCACTTCCTGGATCAAGTATGCGCTTCCTCCAAGGCTCGTGGTCCTCGGCAAAAACTATGGACTTCCCGGTGTTGATACTACCAACTTTATTGGATATGTAACCACCAGGTTTCAAGCCCTGGTATGTGGTTTTAGCTGGATTTTGTTTCTCATCATGATAGAACCTACATAACCAAACAGCAAGTCAGAACCCTCAACAAAATTCTAACAGGGCCAGAAGATAACAAAAGGAAGCTAGGTTAATGCTTGATCCTGGAACTCACTAACAGAAACCAACAAGTATTGGACATGATCTAAAAATCAATAATATGAGTTTAGTATCTCCCCAAAATTTGGAATACAGTAAGAAAGAAGAGTGCATAACGTCAGCAAAGCTAAAAAGATATTTTTTTTCCCTGTAGTGATCTAAACTGAATGGATCCCTAATTCAGTTTGGAGATTGATGAAGTAAAACCAAGAAATAAGTCCATAATGTTAATAAAGCAACTATGTGTTTTGGTTGGTTTGCCGGATTGCCAGGTTCCTGAACAGACCTTCGCATCAAAATCAAATCTTCTTTTCAGTCTAATCTCTTCGAAAGCACGAGAACATAAGAACGCACGAACTAACCTTACGGCTCTCTCCTTCTTAAGCTCCATCTCATCGTCGACCCTCCTCGATCCAAACATGGCTTCCAATTCGATCTCGGTCACCGGGATCTACAAAATGTCTCCGTGACAACAACTACCCTTCCTCAACAGTCACATCCCCCCACATAGCTTGCGACAAACGGCACACCGGGAAGCGATTAAAGCACGAAGACCAAAAAGAAGACTCGCTTCCCTCCGGAACCACCAAGGTGGGATCTTTTTCCTGGTCCGCGCCTAGGGAACAGCCAAAGAACGAATCTTTCGAACGTCAACTGCGATCCAAAAGCCGACGGGGATCTCCGTGACGACACAGGAGGAGAGGGTTGAGAGCACCTCTTCTTCTCTGCTCTCGGCCGGTGGTGGAAAAAGAGGAGAGAGAATTAGGGCTCCGCCAAAGACGATTCCCGTCGTTTAATCTAATTAGCGGCGAGTAACCTCAATTAATTAATCGAATAACAGCTTTTTGTTGTGTTAAGCGTTGCTTATAAACTGAGCTCGGTGAAGAGGAGGGAGGCAACGGCGACAGCTCGAAACCTTCCACTTCTTTTTATCTTCTAATAAACATCTTCCACACATAAGCGCGCGCCACTCGTCACCGACCCGCCGCATTACTCGCTACAGTGACTGGTCCCACACTTTATAGGGAAGTTGGCCCAATAAAAACAGGGTGAACGACGCGAGTGGATATGAGGGAGTAGCAAAGTGGTTCGCGTCGTCTGTACTGTGGTGCGGAAAGGACGTGAGTGACGGACCCATTAATAGACCCTCGTTAAAAATGAATCCACGTGGCAGGAGAGAGGTTGTGTAGGGTGTAAAAAGCTACCGTTGACGGGAAGCTCGTGTGGATTAAATGTGGCTGTCACTTTTTTTCTCTTTTCGCTTTTTTGCAATAAAATAAAAAAAATTAACGGAGATCGTGACGGCCGTGACATGCGTAAAATGTTGGCGCGACCCGCCTTTTCTTACCCTCCCACTCACCACTCACGTGGCGGGTCCCAATTGAGGAAGGGGTAGGGGCCCAGGTGGGTAAGTCTGTTGCGCTTCCATTAGTTATTCGCCAGTCGGAACGCGGCACCGGTGAACACGACAACGTGTCATGTCGCGATTGGAGGGAAGGTTTGCATGATAAACAATGACGTCTCACTTTGGCGTTGACTTTCTAATCTCCGTTCGATCTGCGTTGAGATCCGCGACAGGATCTCAACAATACTACAGCGCACGTCACAACGTATAAATATTAGTAGAAATTGCTGTCTTGCAGAGATACACAAATGCCTTGAATTTTTAATTCAAGGTTGGCGAATAATGTACTGGACACAATGGAGAGTAGCTCTTAAAAGTTAAAATAATAATAATAATAATAATAATAACAATAATAAAATAGGTGGATTATTGAGGTTGTACAAAGAACCACCAACATGACCTATTTTGTTGGTAGGGAAAGAGAATAAATAGCGTAATGTGCACACCTCAAATCATGTTGGAATCGACATACACTAAAGATGGTAGTGATCTCACCTTCACCACATTTTAAGGAGAATGACATGATTGATGGGCCTCAAATAAATAGAAACCTATCAACATGGAACACCAAAAGTGCACCTAACATAGAACATGTCCACTGGATTTGCTCAACCACAGTAGGAAAATAAAAAAGATATATCTAAATGTATCCATACAATGAATAATGGGAGAAAAGGAGTCATTTTATAGTGGACTTTTTCCTTTACTCAAGCTTGCAAGCAACAATGATGATGTACTTCTGCAAGGTTGTATATTCCATGACCAAATTATGATTATTATCAGAGTGTTTGAATGCATTATATTCAATTAATGATAAAGAAAATATTGAGAAACAAGAAGATGCCACATAATGCTTACACAACAAGCACATACATTTTCCACTAGCAATTAAAAGAGTGACAAGCTCATTGGAAAATGATGAGGTCACTAAATCTGCATGATGGATAATTAATGCCTTTTTATTAACCTTAAGTATTAATATTGATATAGTTATAAAAATTTATAACAAGACATATTAATGCAATATCTATCTTCACACATGCACATATTCAAACACACATAATTAAACCTATATGTTCTCAATAATTTTCTCATTCACATCTTCATCTCAATGGTCTTTTTATTATATGTCACAACTCAATATTCTTCACATCACAATATACATTCTAGCGATTTGTTCATATCTATATTAGGAAATCTTGTCCATTTCTATCTCTATAGTTAGTTATAAAAAAAAGAAATTTAATACAATATAAATTTAATCTGTCAAAATTAATACAATATAAAAAGAAAGTTTTGGGGTTTAATATAGTTAATATGCTTTGAAATTTATCTTATGCTTGACAACTTAGTGTTTCTATCAATTTGGGTGAAAGATAGAGGAATCTTTGGGTATGTTGGAAGTTTGACTCTATAAAATATATTATCCAATATCAAAACGATGAAAAAGCCATGTAATTGATGTAAAAAGAACTAAAACTCAAATTCAAGACTATATTTTGTTTCGGTTGAGTCTTTAATTCATCACATATAATTCATTTAGCTTTAAATAATCCGGACTGGAATTTTGAGTTTTGACTCATTTTTCATCATTTATTTTCTATGAATATTCATTATTTCTTATACACATTCTTATTTTTTAATTAAAAATAAATAAAGAAACACTCTATAGGTAAAGGATAAAAGGGGTATTTTTAATAAATAAAGAAAAGGTATTTTTATATTAAACAAAAAGCTATTTTAATAAATAAAGAAACACCTGTTTTCGTTTTTCCTAATAATACCCATTTTTTCTGTAATTCCAAAACATACCTTTCCCTTCCCGTCGCCGACGCCTCCGCTCCTGCTCCCCTATCCGTCGCTGAGGTCCACTCTTCCCCATTGCGCCCCTCACCTTCGCCTGAGTGAGAGGCGACTGTTGCCCCTTTGCCGTCGCCGACAACAAGACATCTCACTACCTACGCCTCTGTTGCCCCGTGGAGCAGAGGAAGGGAGTCGCCGACAGCAAGGCAGCCTACTGCCTACGCCTCTGCCGTCCCACGGAGCAGAGGAAGGGAGGGCTCCTCTTCTCCATGGGGCGGCAGAGGCGGAGGTAGCGGGCTACCTCGCCGTCGGCGACAGCAAAGGGGCAACGATCGCTTCTCGCTCGGGCGGGGAAGCTTGAGCGGTGAGGAAGGGAAGGATATTTTTCGGATTATAAAGATTAAGGGCATTATTTCGAAAAACGAAAAAAAAATCAGAAAAATCGCCCTACAAATATTTATTTATTTCTCACCTTCGCATTCAAAAAAGATGTCTTTAAGCATGCAAAGAGGGCCACACTTTCACCCTTTTTTGGATGTGGATCCTCTCCAACGTACATTGCAGCCAATCGTCCAATATTCATATCTGAGCGTTCATTTCTGTGGGTCCCGTTTCTCAACGGTAGAGATCAGACCATTTTTGAAATGCAAACGGTCATAATCAGGTTCTGAAACGACGAAAAGAAAAGGTTTCTGGTGTCCTGCGGAGTAGCTTTGCTTAAGTAGGAGCCAAAAATTTCTACGCGTTGGTCGCTTTCCGAATCTTTTGTACCTATCTTCTTACCGGAGAAGATGCTGCTCTACAAGCGGGTCCCTGCACCGGCTTATCTGTCTTCCAATTATGAGGCAGGTAGGACGACGAGTAATAGACGGCTCGTTGGTAACCGTTGAGCGCGTTGTCGACCCACCGATCGGTGACCTTAACCTTAAAGGGCGGTTTTGCTCAAGTTTCGGATCCCGATCGTTGTTGCCCTCTTCTAAGTCTCTAAGTTTGCTCGCTCGCCATGGGAGGATCTCACAGCCGCGAGGGCTTGGAACTCTCCGATTCCGAGGAGGAAGAAGAGGAAGAACAGGAGGAACAAGAGCAAGAAACGGCAGGACAGCCACGAGATCGAGTGGAAGCCGCGGGTCGATCTGGTGAAGCCCTAACCCCGGCCGCCTCCCTTGATGAGGTCGATCGGAAGCTCCAATCCCTCAAGCTCAAGTACTCCAATCCCTCCCCTTCCCCCCAGACCCGTAGCCCCAAGGATGCCCTCAAGCTCTATCTCCATATCGGCGGCAGCACGCCCACCGCCCGCTGGGTCATCTCCGACAAGCTCGCCTCGTACGCCTTCTGCCGGCCCTCGCTCTCCGACGACTCCGATGGCGAGGATAATCCTTCTTCTCCTTGGTTCCTGCGGATCGGCGCCAAGGTTCGCGCCAGGGTCGGCCCCGAGCTGCAGCTCAAATCGTTCCCGGACCAGCGCCGTGTCGATTTCGTCGCCGATGGGGTGTGGGCCATCAAGTTCCCGAATCTGGAAGGTTATCGGGCGTTCCAGAGTCAGTACCAGAGCTGCCTCTTTGAGAACACCTACGGCGTTGAAGCGAATGAGGAGAACAAGATGAAGGTGTTCGGAAAAGATTTCATGGCGTGGGCGCAGGTGGATGCCGAAGAGGACAGTATTTGGGCGGATGCGGAGGACAGCTTGGAGAAGAGTCCCGAGCCGTTGTCCACGCCAAGCAGGGTCAAGCAGGACCTACTGGAGGAGTTCGAGGAGGAGGCAAATGAAGGTGGGATACAGAGCCTGGCGCTCGGTGCGCTCGAGAACAGTTTCTTGGTGAGTAACTCAGGAATTCAGGTTCTCAGGAACTTTAGCCATGGAGTTCATGGCAAGGGGATTTCAGTGAAGATTTCAGATAATACGGGTCGAGCTGGTGGGTATTCGACGCCCAAGAAAGCACTTTTGATGAGGGCGGAGACTAATATGTTGTTGATGAGTCCAGCACAAGCAGGAAAACCCCATGCAAGTGGGGTTCATCAAGTGGACATCGAGACTGGGAAGGTTGTCACGGAGTGGAAGTTTGAGAAGGATGGGACTGATATTACTATGAGAGACATCGCAAACGATAGCAAGGGTGCTCAGTTGGATCCATCAGAATCGACCTTCTTGGGATTGGATGATAGTAGGCTTTGCCGTTGGGATATGAGGGATCGCAGAGGGATAGTCCAGAACCTCGCAAATGCCATGGAGTCGCCAGTGTTGCAGTGGACGCAAGGTCACCAGTTCTCCAGGGGTACAAATTTCCAATGCTTCGCCTCAACAGGTGATGGTTCTATTGTGGTGGGGTCTCTGGATGGGAAGATACGACTATATTCGAAGAGTTCTATGAGGATGGCAAAGACTGCCTTCCCTGGGCTTGGATCACCAATCACTCATGTGGATGTCACATTTGATGGAAAGTGGATACTGGGCACAACAGATACATACTTGATCCTTATAAGCACGGTATTTAAGGATAAAGATGGAAAGGAAAAGACTGGTTTTGCTGGGCGAATGGGGAACAGGATTGCTGCTCCAAGATTACTGAAGCTTACTCCATTGGATTCACATCTGGCTGGCGAGAACAAT